CCCGCCGTCCTTCCTCCCCTCTCGTCCTCGTTTCCTCATCCTTCCTCTTCATCCCTGTTCTTCCCGTTTCTGATCCGTGGCCTGGCGGTTGCAGTAGCTGAGTAATTGCAGTAGTTTCGAGCTCCAATGTTGAATAGCGCAGGCGGCTAACCCAGTAATCGATTTTGAAACACAGATGTTGAGTTCTGGAGAACTGAATTAAGGTACGGGGCGATTGAACCAGTAGTGTAACGTAAGCACAGGATCAGTGCACGAGGATCACTATTGAGGCTTGCTTTGCAGCATTGCAGCCGGCACTCCTGAGTAAAAGACTTCGCCCGGATGCCGCACTTCGTGGGCGTGACCTGAGGAGCCACCGAGGACCCCTCGGTGCGAGAAAGGAAGAAGGAACGGGGAAGCGCCAGGTACAGAGCAGGAGAGTGAGGAAGAGGAAGAGGAGCAGAAATACAGTGAGCGGCTTGAGTAAGGAACACTTACTTTCCAAAAGGGGCTCGGTCGTTCCTTGGGCTCGCATGCGTTATTCATCGTTCCTTATGCGTAATGGATCACTCACTCATGGTTCCTTGTGCGTTACTCCTTGGAAAAAGGGCTTCGTTCCTTACTTATCGCTCCTTAGGTCAGGCCGATGAATGGCTGTGTGACAGCATGAGGCACCGCGGCCCTCCTGCCCCGTGGTCCACTGAGAGATCATGGGTGGGGGGGCGCAGCCCGGGTGGCACGGCGCATGCTGCGCTTCCCCCTCTCGTCCTCCCTTTCCTCATCATCCTCCTCCTCCTCCTCGTCCTCCTCCTCCTCCTCCCTCCCTCCCTCCCTCCCTCCCTCCCTCCCTCCCTCCCTCTCCCCCTCCCTCCCCCCCCCCCTCCTCCTCCTCCTCCCCTCCTCCTCCTCCTCCTCCTCCTCCTCCTCCTCCTCCTCCTCCTCCTCCTGCTCCGCCTCCTGCTCCTCCTCCTCCTCCTCCTCCTCCTCCTCCTCCTCCGCCTCCTCCTTCTGCTCCGCCTCCTGCTCCTCCTTCTCCTCCTCCGCCTCCTCCTCCTGCTCCGCCTCCTCCTCCTCCTCCTCCTCCTCCTCCTCCTCCTCCTCCTCCTCCCCCGCCGCTCCCGCCAAGTCACGCAGAGCGAATGGGTCCGCCGGAGCGGCCGATGTCTTCCGCCTGGGCCTCCCAGAGCTCGCTGGCGTGAGCTGGCCCTCCCAGGGTTCTCTGGGGCCAATTTGCTCCCCCAGAGCTCGCGGGCGTGAATTCGTCCCCCTCCCCCTCCTCCCCCCTCCTGCTCCTCCACATCTTCCTCCTCCCCCTTCCTATCCCTCCTGCTACCACCGCGCAGAAAGAAGACAAAGCAGCACCAACGTACATGATATCTAGCAGAAGGCGTTGTGCGCTGTCGGCTGAACTTGCGGGGAGCTATCAAAGAAGTGATCCGTTGTGGTCAACGAGATTCCCGCGAACTTGGGAGCTGTGGCCTCGCCTTTAGCTTTCCTCGCGAGGGCTCCTTTTGGTGGGCCCCCGCCGATGGCGCCCATCCCCGTGGAGTGACTCGGAATACCAGTCAGGCTGTGGCACGAGGCGGTGATCTTTTTTGGCTATCAGGAGGTCGCCGCGAAGCACTGCCTCATGATGTCTTGCTGCTACCGTTCGTGGGCGGACATCATACTGCGGGAGGTCGGGCTTTGCCGTGGCGCCTGCGATTAAGTCTGGCAGTTGTGCCGCGGTCCGCTGCCTCGGCGTAATCCGTCGTCTTCAAGGCTCTCAAAGTGTCGCAGGCCCCTCTGCCACAACCGTATCCTTGGCTGGCCGCGTCGTCATGCCCCGCGCCGCGCTTGGCCAGCGCTAGCAGTATCATTAGTCCGGCTTGGTGGAGGGCGTCTTCGGGGTAGAGAGATTCCAGACCGAGAGCGCCTGTCCACGAATCCGATATAGAGTTCGCCGCGCTTTCCAGCATGGCTTGCGCCGCGCAAGAGGGAGCATTGGGCGCGGGACCTCTGAGGTGGGCGGTTCGCTACCGCGCATGCAGAGTGGCGCGGTTCCTTGCAACCGCATTTTCTAGCAATGTCGCGACGGCACTATGCTCTGGCGCGGCACCTTTTGGGCCCCGATGTTGCCGTTACTGCGCGAGGGCCCGCGAGTCCCGACGTCGCGCCGCCGCGCAGCGAAGACCCTTCCAGGAGCTCCCGCAAGTGGAGATCCAAAGCAGGCCTCCGAAGCTGCCGAGATCGACATTTTCGCGCGCTGGCGGCCCAGCGGCGCCGAGGCGGGCGCCGGGCGAGGGCGCTCAGCTGACCCTGCGACGGCAGCCAGGAGGCTGCTGCGGGCGAAGGCGCGCCCGATGCGGACAGTCGTGCCCGCGGAGTGGGGCGCGCCAGCTGCGCGGCTGCGAGGCCGTAGCCCACGGCGCCTGATCGCGGCTCGGCCGCGCGGCCACTGGATCGACGGCGCCCTTCCGCCAGCGGCGCGGGCGCGGGCGCTGCAACGCCACAGATCGCTGCCCACGCCGAATGGCCCAGCCCACGCGTCGGCGGGCCCGGCCAGTCACGCGGCCTCGTCCATAGCATGGAGCTCCGCACGCGGTCGCTGCCGACCAGCAGCGCTGGGCCTCGGCCGACGGCGGCAGCACGGGCCCCCCAGCTGCGCTGCGGGCGCAGAGGCGCCGCAGCCCGCTGCTGCGCCAGGCACGGGCCGACCAGCGTGCCGGCGAGGGCGGCCGTGCCTGCGGCGTCGTCGTCCCTCGCGGCGGGCCTCGCGGGAGGGCGTGCAGTCGGCGGCGAGCCAGCAGCCCAGGTGGTGCAGGGGCCGCCACGGGCGAGGACGCGCCAGGTGTCGGCCCCGCGCCCGCGGAAGGCGTCGGCCAGGGCGCGGGGGGCACGGGCGAGTCCATGCGACGCCTCGACGGTGCAAATGGGCGGTCCTGGGCTGGGTGGAGCGGGGAGGAGGAGGAGGAAGAGGAGGAGGAGGAGGAGGAGGAGGAAGAAGAGGAGGAGGAGGAGGAGGAGGAGGAGGAGGAGGAGGGGGAGGACCAGGGGGGGGGAGGAGGAGGGAAGGGAGGAGGGAGGGAAGGGAGGGAGGGAGGGAGTGGGGAGGAGGAGGAGGAGGGAGGAGGAGGAGGAGGAGGAGGAGGAGGAGGAGGAGGAGGAGGAGGAGGAGGAGGCGGAGCAGGGGGAGGAGGGAGGTAGGGAGGTGGGGAGGAGGAACAAGCGTCCCTCGCCCCCTCCCTACCTCCTCGCCATGAAGGAGAGAGGTCCAGAGTGAAACAGGTCCAGGAGGCTTTTCGCCATTTTCCGGGCGCTCGGGGCACTCCCTGGGCCCCAGCGGCTCACGATGAAACGGTGGTCTTGGAGAAGGCCCTAGGGTCCAGGACTCGTTTCCCTCCAGACCCGCTTCCTTCATGCCGGCCTTTTCCTCTCCCCGCCCCCCTTGCTCCCCCCTCTCTAGTTCTCTCTCCCCCCCCGCCCGGATGGCAGCGGCGACCCCCACAGGGAGCTGCTGGAGCCCGGGGGCAGCCTGCGGCTGCTGGACCTGCTGGCGGAGGCGCCGCCGCTCCAGGGCGGGGGGGCGAGGTCGGGGTCCTCTCCAGGTGCCCTGGAGCACAGCCTGTTTCCAGCTTCTTCTCGCTCGTCGTCGTCGCTCCTCTTCGTGGAGACCCCCCCCGCAGTTGGGTTTTTTCGGGCCGTTCCTCAGACCTGGGTCGGGGGGCCTACTCGTGGCCGAGGCCCGCCGTGGCAGGAGGGCCCCTTCTTTCTTGATCCGGCGTTCCTTCTAGTGGCACCGATGGCTACATGTCTCCTTCCCATCACCGGCTGACGCGGATCTCTGGCTCTCCGCCGCCGTCTGGATGTCCCAGCATGGCCTTTTGATGGTCCAGTCTTCCTGCGAGCGTCAGTTTCCAGACCAGGTCCTGCACTGCTCTGACGGACGCGTCGGGCAAGTCCGAGCTCCCCAAGTTCGAGCCCTTCGCCTCCCCGGCCCATGACGCAGCTTCTGTGAACACGCTGCACGCGGCTCGAAGACACTGCGAGCACCAGATCCCAACGTCCAATGGCGCGTCAATGGCGACTCCGGGCTCAACAGGCTATGCAGCTGCAACGTTTACGGCATCCCGCTCGTTGATCTCTTCGCTGACATCAACATATCGGCGGCCCGTTACGAGCAAGCGGCGGATAAGGATATCATCGTCATCATCATCATCATCATCATCACCATCACCATCACCATCACCATCATCATCATCATCATCATCATCATCATCATCATCAACTTCATCGTCATCATCATCATCAGCATCATCACAATCATTATCAACATCATCACCACCATCATCATCATCATCATCATCATCATCATCATCATCATCATCATCATCTTCAGCTCCATCATCATCGTCACCATCGTCACCACCGCCATCATCGTCATGATCATCGTCGCCAGCATCCTCATCATCCTCATCCTCATCATCCTCATCTTCCTCATCCTCCTCATCATCAGCAACATCAGGATCATCGTCACCATCATCATCAGCAGCATCATCATCACCATCATCATCATCATCATCATCATCATCATCATCATCATCAAGGCTTGCTCGTGAATCACCATCTTCTCGGCGGGAAGAGCCAGCTGGCCGTCTCTGGTACAGCCGCCGCAACGGCAGAGGGAGGCCCAGGGCACAGCCCCGACCGGATCTGTTCCTTCGTCGCGCTCAGATCGCAACCTCTATCGTCTCTCGTTGCCTCCTTCCCCTCGCATCATGGCGCCACATACGGCAGACGGTGTTCGGCGATGCTCGGTCTCCTATGCGAGACCTTCTTCGAAGGATCGCTTCTGGACCACCACCAGATCTTTGTCCAGCGAGCGCCTGAGCTCCAAAGGGAGTTAGCACATCGCGGAGATGGGCCGTCTGACTGTGAAATACCATGCAGCTGCCTAGTGCGCGACCTCGGACGTCGCGCGCAGGCGCGCCGCGCGGCGCTGCACGCGGCGGCGGCGGTGGAGCGGGGGATGGCGCGGAAGAATGAGCCGGTCATGCACGAGCTACTGGGCGATACGAGCCAGGGGTGGCGGCGTTGCTGCGGTGTCGGGGTTTCAGTCAAGATGGGTTCTAAAGAGGCTGCAGATCAGGGACCGCGTGATTCAGTCCAACGGAGTTCACCGTATGTTCTGCAAGTCGCCATAAGCTGTCACGCGTGTTCATAATACTTCTCTTGTATACTGTTTTTTTCTCAGGAAGAAACCAAGTACATTCACCTTTGCGAAGTTCTAAAAAGGAAGTTGTAAAACATATGGATTATGTTTACCCGGTTAAGCAAATCGTTGCATGTGATTGTTTGCCTTCGTGTGTGTGTGTGTGTGTGCATAGCCGTTTGCGTATTGGACTCGCCAGGCCGTCACGCACAGTCCATCAGGAGCACTCCGATGGCTCTCACCTTCCTCCCTGTGGCATCGCCTTCCAGGCCAGCCATCTCCTCGCACACACGCGTAGACGCGGTGGATGGGCCCGCGTTGCTGGCCTCCACGTCATCAGCGCTTGCAGGACGCAGTTTCGTCGTGATTGGTACCGCGGCAGCCGCACTGCGACGCCCGCGGCTCAGCCGGCTTGGCTGGAGAGGGCAGCGCATGTGCGTGGCGAGATGTGCAGGCAGGTCACAGGTCGAGGCCTTCAAGGTTTTCGGCCCTGCGGGCGATCCGTTTGTGATCGACTTGGACCAAAAGCTTGGTGTCGGCGCGCAGGAGCGTGCTTTCTTCCTCTTGTAGACGTCGCCAACAGGGCAGCCAACAGGGCAGGGGATTGGGGAAGAGGCCAGGTAACGTCACGATTTGCGCCGGTGCCGTCTGGGAATGGACCGCGACGAAGACGACGTTGTCGGAGGCCTGCGGAGGCCTCCGAAGTCCCTTGAGGTCTCGTTCTGGCGGCGTTCGGAGGTTTCCGGGGCCATTGATATTGTTGCAATGGTGCAAATGTTGGTGCAGTAGCATCTTCAAGAGTTGCAGCAGCTACATCAGCTGCGGAAGTTATAGCAGCAGCTACAGCAAACACAGCAGCTTCAGCAGCTGCGGCAGCTACTCAGCATCTACAGCAGCTACTGCAGCCACAGCAGTTAGATCACCCACAGCAGCTGCAGCACCTACATCATCTTCACCAGCTACACCATTCAGAGTGCTCACAACAGCTACAGTACATACAGCAGCCACAGCAGCTAAAGCATCTACAGGCCCTTGAGCAGCTACAGCAGCTTCAGCAGCTACGGGCCCCGGAGGCGCCCATCGTGACAGTACTGGGGAGGGGGGGGGACAGTGGCAACGGGCTTCTCTCGCGAATCGTTTAAACACGATCTCCAGGGTACCGTGTACCGCTGCCATCGCCAGAACGACCCAAGCCAGGTCTTCGCTGTCAAGGCTGTGCCCATCTATGAGGACGACGCGGAGGGCCGAGCGGAGGCACTCGAACGAGAGACGCGAGCTTTGCTGCAGGGCCAAGGCCACGAGGGCATCGCGGCTTGTGTCGGATGTTTTGATGTGAGCACAGTGGTGATGCACCAGTTCCCCACGCAGGGCAGGACGATCCTCACCTATAAGATGATTGTCATGGAGATCGTGACGGGCGGGGAGCTTGCGGGTCTCATCAGCGCGCAGGGTTGCTTAGACGAGGCGACAGCACGCGGTGTGTTTGCGAGGGTGGTGTCGGCCGTGAAGTTTCTGCACGCCCACCAGGTGAGAATCTAATCCTAGAGCCCATGGATCATACACCACAATAAGTTATAATGTGTTTGCCCCGATCTTCATCCCTTCACCACACATCCCATCCCAATCGTACATTCAGATTCTCTTGCGTGGATCACTCATGATGTAGGTTGTATGTCGTGATGGCATGCAACAGCTAGCTATATCCAGCATTGCCGGGTACATCTAGCACTTGTTGTTGTTGATGTTGTGTGTTTGTTGTTATTGTTGTTGTCGTTGTTGATGTTGTTGAATACTCACTTCTAGAGAATAATTATTGCTGATCTCCGGAAAGCTGCCCAGGCGCTCTCGCCTCGATGCCGGCCTCATTGTCTGTAAAAGCGAGGCTCCCGCTCGAGCGGGGGCGTGATTGTGTATGTGTGCCTTTGTGGGCCCGGTTACGACGACAACGGCTCCCGCTCGATACTTCCTCGAAATTTACTTCGACGGGCCTTGGCCAGAGAGGCCTCGAAGCTCAGGAACGGCGCTCTGGCTCGAGACATCCTCGCAATTCACGCAAGCTCGTGGAGTTCCATCCAGCGACGGCGACATCGGCTCCCGCTCGATACTTCCTCAAAATTTAGTCCGACGGGCCTTGGCCAGAAAGGCCTCGAAGCTCAAGCACAGCGCTCTGGCTCGAAACTTCCTTGGAATTCACGCAAGTTCGTGGAGTTCAGCGAAGGCGACAGCGGCTCCCGCTCGACACTTCCTTGCGATTTATTCCGAGCCGCTTTGGCCAGAGAGGCCTCGAAGCCCAGGAACGGCGCTCTGGCTCGAGACATCCTCGCAATTCATGCAAGTTCCGTGGAATTCCAGCGACGGCGACAGCGGCTCCCACTCGACACTTCCTTGCGATTTATTCCGAGACGCTCTGGCCAGAGAGGCCTCGAAGCTCAGGAATTGCGCTCTGGCTCGAGACATCCTCACAATTCACGCACGTTCGTGGACGCCCCGCTACGATGACAGCAGCTTTCGCCCGACAATTCTGCGCGATTTTCTTCGAGAGGCCCTGGCCAGAGAAGCTTCGAAGCTCAGGAACTGCGGTCTGGCTCGAATCCTCCTCGCAATTCGTTCAAGTTGGGGAGGGGGGTGGGCAGCTACGACAACAACGGCTCCCGCTCGATACCTCCTCACTTTACTCCGAGACGCCTTGGCCCGCGGGCGCGTAAGCACTTTTGGTGACCGTGGCGATGTGGTGCGCATAGAGAGTACCGAATCCTTCTCCCAGGAGCTGGCATGAAACGAATCCCCCCCAATAGGGGTTGGTCCAATTACTTCGCGGGCGGGTGCGAGGGAGAGGGGAAAACACATGAGGGCCACAGTTGCTTGTTACATTCGATATTCGCAAGATGGTCGTCGTTGTTGTTGTTGCTGTTGTGTGTGCGCGTGTGTGCGTGTTAGTGCTAACGTTGCTGCGATTATTCGTGATCGTGCTCGCGCTCGCGCTCTTGTTTGTGCGTGGGTGTTTGTGCTCGTGCTCGTGCTCGTGCTTGTGTTCGTGTGTGTGTGTGTGTGTGCGTCTAAGTTGCATTTGTGCCGGCATGGTGGTCTGCGGTTGTTGCATGCGTTGTAGTGTTTTTTTTTAATGCAGTTGGCAGTACAAGACTACGACCTCCCCAGATAGAAAAAGTATGTTCAGTCATGCGTTGACATCGGGGTGGGTGTATGGAAGGTGTGTTGGATGATCTACAACTACCACTACAAGCACGGCCGCTCCGAGCACTATTACTACTAGACACGAACGGGAGAGCACATCGTTATACCAAATGGTTTCTAAGCAGGTGTTTGGTGTTGGTAGTGGCAGGTCGGTCCATTCTAACAGGTGCTGCACCGTGACTTGAAGTGTGAGAACATCTTGGTTTGCGCGGGGGGCTTGGGACCAGGCACGCAGGTGAAGCTAGTTGACTTCGGTGTGGCCAAGGATGTGGCCGGCTCCTTTGCGCAAACCTGCGTGGGCACGGCCGAGATCATGGCACCCGAGCTCGTGTGCGCAGACCTGCTGTTGGCCCCTGGCGGTTCACCGCTACCTGCTGTTGGGCCGTTTGCGTTCGCTTCGCCGCTGGAGCAGTCGCCGGGGTTCGGCCTGCGTACGCAGAGAACTAACGGCACAGGTGCGCTCATCGATGGCCTCGAGCCTGGCGGCCAGGCAGAGCAGCGGGGAGTGGGAGATGGCTGGGCATTGGCAGGCATCAACGGGGTCGATGTGCGGCAGATGCTCTTCGCCAAGAACCCTCAGAAGCCGCAGGAGCCGGCCATCACCGAGCTCCTCATGGGCCTTGACGGGCCCTTCTCGCTGGAGCTCACCGAAGTCCCGAAGCGCGAGTTCACCGAGGCGATCGATTGTTGGAGCCTTGGCGTGGTTCTGTACACGATGCTGTCGGGCAAGAAGCCCTTTTCCACACAGCAGGCCACCGCCGCAGGTGCGTACCCCCAGCTCGAGCAGGCGTCCGAGGGCGCCAGGGACCTCGTCGCTGGCTTGCTGCGGCTCGATCCTGCCTCTCGTCTCACGCTGGAGCAGGCGGAAACCCACCCGTGGCTGTGCTGAGGTCTGGCTTCCCATATGTTTTCGGACCAGTGCAGCATCCACTGCTGGCCCTCTTGATTGGCTTGCGATCGCGCTCATTCTGGCACGTTTTTCCTCGCGTCCCCGCGGGGTTCGAATGGTCTTACGACTTCAGGGAAAGAAGCCAGCAGCATCATCAGCAGGAGACATCTTTGGTTGACGGGGTGGGTGTTGAAGGAAGAGGGATCGGGTAGGACGAAGAGGGGGATACGAAGTCAGCTGCTTGCAGCTGGTTTCTGCCCCGCCGCCAGGCGATTTCCTCGATACATGACCTCCCCTCGCGCCAGAAGGCGCTGGGGAAACCAGCTGCTGTAGCTGAGTCCCAGACCCCCCCTCCACTAAGTTCCTTTCGTTCCCGCCCGAAGGGCGAGATGAGGGAGGCGGATGCAGCACTATCGCAGATTGCGTTTAGCGCTACCTCTCCTTTTTCTTCCTTTCCATCTCTCTCGCTCTCACTCCCTCTTCTGTCCTACATCTCTCTGCCTCCTTCTCTCTCTCTCTCTATTTCACCCTTTCCCCTCCTCTCTCTCTCTCTCTCTCTCTCCCTCTCTCTCTCCCTGTCTCTCTCCCTCTCTCCCTATCCGTATGTATATGTTGCAGTAGCGATGTCGGCTGTGGTGGTGGTAGTGGGACTAATAGCGGTCGTGCTGGTGGTAGCGATAGTCGTAGTAGTCGTCGTTCTCGTCGTCGCAGGCCGTGGCTACGAAGTTGCTGTGAAACCTGAAGTATTGCGCATCGCTCCTTTGAGGACGATTGCTACTTCTTGTGGTGAACAGATGATCCGATCATATCTTTCCTTTGCGATGTATACCGTCAGCTGCTCTGGTGGAACAGGCAACCTTCCTTTTTGCAGTGGCGTCGCTTGCCTCTTGTGGAGCATTGCCTTCTGGAGCTTATGCATGCATGGCACTGCTCGAATTCGCTTGCAAACGACGCTCGACTGATCTGAACAATGGCGCTGCTGAGTGCACAACTCTCGATGGCGCAGTATATGGCGCAATGGCACAACAAATAATGGAATTTACGATCTGGTAGACTGGGTCCCAGTCGCTGGGACGCCTGGTTCAAACTATATTTTGGAAACGGTGAAACAACAGCCCTGCCGTTTCCGGGGCCCACGAAGGACTGGGATGCCTGGTTCAAGCAATGCCTCAAACGTTTGCGCAGACTACAGCGCAACCTCTTGGCGCAACCTGTGACGCAATGGCACACCCAGTAATTAAGGGAACGGACGATTTGGTAAATTTTGGGATGCTTGCCGCAAGCTTTTGCGCATCTTGCAATAGAGCAATGTATGTCGCAATTGCACAACCAATACTGCGACATACGATTTTGTAGGTAGACTGTGGAATGCCTGGCTCAAGTTATGCCTCAATCATCGGCGCAACCTACAGCGCAACCTCTTAGCGCAACCTATGGCGCAATGGCACAACCAGTAATCGAATCTACAATTTTATATATTGCAGGATGCCTGGCGCAATTTATGGCGCAATGACACATCAAATAAGCAACAAACGAATTGGCAGATCGCGCGGTTTCTGGCGCAACCTCTGGCGCAATGCTACGCTGGTGTCTGCCGCAACGGTGCACTGATGCCTGGCGTAGCCCTTTGTTTGCTCGGGGGGGAGGGTTCGGCCGCAGATTCATGGCGCAACATGTGGCGCAACGGCGCAACCCAGGGAAGGGAGAATCACCGGGGAGGCCGCGATTTGGTTGCTCTGCGGGGTGTCTGCTGCAGCCCATGGCGCAACATCCATGGCAGATGCTGCCTGGGGCCCCCTTTGCCGGGTGACACTTGATGGCGCCCCGGGGAGCGCAGTGGCCTGTGCACTCAAGCGCGTCTGTCGCGGATGCTGTGGTTCCTCTCGGGGCCAGCTCCGTGGTTCGCCCGCTGCTGCTACTCGATGCTCGGTGCGGTCCTTGAGGCTATCCTCGGCCTGCGACCCTCCTCGATCCCTCGATGTTCGGCTCGATTATTTTGCCCGCGTTGCAGGCGTTCCGGAACGAGCCGGCGAACGACGCCGGCCGGCAGCCGCAGATGGCGGGCAAGTTCCACGGCTTCCGGGAGGGCGGCTATTCGCGGAAGGCCCTGCTCCAAAGGGGGGCGGCGATGGCAGGAAGAGGAGGGGCAGGAGGAGGAAGGAAAGGAGGAGGAGGAGGTGGAGGACGGAGGAGGAGGGAGGAAGGAGGAGGAAGAGGATCGAATAAGCACAAAGACAAAAACCGAAATTGTCGGACGATTGCGCGGATTTCTGGGATCGGCGCTGAATCTTCCTGGCGGCGCCTCCGGCGCCGCGCCTGCCGCGCTCACAGTGCTGTTTCTCAAGGCGCCGCTACCCTCGTGGGCCCAATGCTCAGCGAAGGTAGCCGCGGGGTCCACGAGCACATTGCCAGGCCAGAAGGGGGAGGACGAGGAAGAGGAGGACGATGAACCTCCTCCTCCGCCACATGCTGATCTAGATTTGGGGTGGGAAGGGGTTACCGCGCTTCTGCCTACCGGCCCCAACTCAGTGTCTGTGACGACAGATTCTGTACCAGACCCCCCTGTCCTCGAAGCTGGGGAAAAACCAACCGGGCCGGGGATGGGAAAGGGTGGGTTTACCGCGCGGAGAAGAAGGAGGAGGAGGAGGAGGAGGAGGAGGAGGAGGAGGAGGAGGAAGAGGGGGACGAGGACGACAAGACCAGGCTCTCCAGGCAGGTCCAGGAAATCCCTCTGCTGCGGGAAGCTCTGCGCGTCAACGCGGCCGTGCTGATTTTCGTCTAAGTTGGATGCGCGGACGCGCGCATCGTGGGCTCTTTGGGCCCTGGTGCTGGCCACAGAGGGCTGCATGCTGAACATGTGGTCATGAAGAGTCTACACAGTCCACATTCACTGGTAACCCATTGCGCGATAATGCCATGCACGCGCAACGTCACCCATAAGAAACGTGCATCCAGATCTACGTGAGGAACGTGCGCATCAAACCTGCAGAATTGAAGACCCAACGCTGATAATGTCGAACACCTGTTATACAAATGATGACCCCGCCCCTCCCCTCTGGACCCCGACTGCCATTATTTCGCAGCTGAAAGCTGTGTTTTATATTGTCCGCCCTGGAAAATTGTCCACGGAGACCGAACGATGCTATTGATAAATGCGCACATGTCTGTTTGTAATCGATATGTGTATACATTTGTATGTTCGCACATACAAATATTCGAAAATGTGGAATTCCGGGTGCCAACATAAGGCCACCCGTTGTTTCTTTGTGGAGCTGAATGGGTTCATGTTAAATCCCAGAAGCCTCAATTTACAATCGGCTTCAATTGTTTTTCTCTCACCGATTCGGGGTGACACGTGTCGCCCGTTGTTTGTTTTGCTTATGCATTGCCTTGCGATGGTTCCCATAATTCCAAAATGTGAATTTACAGTTTGTTTTTCTCAGACGATTTCGGGGGAGACACGTGCCATCCCTTTTTTCGGTGAAGTTGAATGGGCTTATGTTGGCTCCCAGAATCCCACATTTACAGGTCGCAGGCATGTCAGGTGTAACGCGTTCGCTACCCACAGAGGGTGCGCAGAGGGTGGTCCCTGAGCGCAGTCTTTATCCATGCCAAGTTCGCAGGGCGTGGCAGGCGTGGCCTGACGCCAAGAGGGGGTAGGCAAGATTCCGCCCCTGCGCGCCGAGCGCCAAGGCGGTCGCGGGGACGTCCCCGGTGGTCCGGTTCGCTCCGCCTTCCATTTCGTTTTCTAGATGCTCACTACAGCGCTGGGGAACTATTTGTTTAGTTGCCCCCCTTAGTGGTTTGTTTAAGCTGTGTTTAGACATTACTATGTAGTGGCATTGCTCATGGCGATCATATTACACATGTACACACTGCACACGCTTAGCAGACACATAGCCAGGCAAGAACCAATGAACATGGCGATGCGCACCAAGTGGACCCCAAGCACAGTCGCAGCATCCCCCTGGTGGGGATCTTTCGAAGCCCCCTTTTTTTACGACGCCCTCTGACCCGCCGCCATGTTAGCCTGCGTGGTCGCCAAACAGTGAATTGTTGTCTCGTGGAGGTGACGTTTATGCTGTGACAGCTATGTCGTGGAAGCTAAGCCGTGTATACTTTTCGCCGTGAGCTATGTGGCGGAAGCTACGGTGTGCAAGGGCTAAGCTATGCGGTGTAAGCTGGGTGGTGTGAGCTATGCTGTGTAGGCTGAGTGGTGCAAGCTGTGGGGTGTTAGCTGTGGTGTCAGCGGCATGGCGCGAGCTATGCTGTGTTGTGCGCGTGGCATGGGCCACTTGGTGGAACATTGCGCTGTGTGAGCCGTGCTGCGCAGACCGTGCCGCGCAGGCTCCGCGGTGTGAGCCAGCGCGGTGTGCGCTGAGCGCTGCGAGCGACGTGGCGCAAGCTGGGTGCTGCAGGCTGTGCGGTGCAAACCACATCTGGCGCGAGCGCACGGCGCGCTCTCGGCCCGCCCGCGGGGCGGGCACTGGGCGCCGGCGCGGCGGACCCTGAGAGCGCCCGCCCGGCGCACGCGGCGCCCGCGGGTCGCCGGCGAGCGGGGCACGGGGCGCCAGCGAGGCGAATACCTTGGGAAATCAGAGGGGCTCGAGGTTTCTTAGAAAGGTCCTTATATGGGTGTTCTCCCCGGCGTTCCTCGTGCACCTCTGGGCGCAAAACCGAGCCCCCTCAAAAGGGGCTTCCTTCGGGGTCCGCGGTCTCTCGTGGCAAGCCTTGCAATGGGATCGCCGCAGCGTCTCATCTCTGAGGGGAAAGACCACCCGGACCCGACCGACAATTGGCGTTTACGAAACGGCCTTGGGCGTTCCCTGAACCAGCCCTGCCCTGTTTGATTCCTCCTCGCTGGGCGCATTCACCACACGACTTCGCGCGTCGGGGTGGTTCTTATCCAGGAGGGACGCTATTCATCGTCGACTCTCCAGAACATATGGGAGAACATGGGAAGTGGGGGGGAAGACGAAGAAACCCAGAACACATTGGAA